AACTATTAAATATAAGTATAGTAAAGATATTTGGAAATTTGGTTATGATCATGTACCACATCGACGATGGTTATTTGATAGAAATAGAGAAAACATTAAAGAAACAATTAATTATTATTCACCTGTTGAACTACTTATTGATCATTCAAATGAACATATTTATTATCCAAATAGTCCAACATTGGACTTAAAGAAATGGGTTTCAAGAAACTCACCACAAGCATTTCCAACAGATGTTTTACAAGGTTAGTATAAAAACTTTTCCATTAGTTAGAATCTTTGAAAGACAATCTTGGAGGAGGAAACATGTATGAAATTGTGATCGAACACAATTAATTCATTAAAACCTGAGAATTATGTTCGTTTGACTAAATCTTTGTTTTATCTACCAGTATTATTCAACAATCAAGTTATGTGATCTTGTATTACAATTTTCATCAAAAACAATTTACCATAATGCTTAAAATATGTACTTTTCAAAACAAAAGTGTATCCTTGCCACGTTAATAAAGTTCATATAAATATTCATATCGACTGAAGGTTTCAGAATATAAAAATAGCCATTACGCGTATTTCATAGCAAAACTTTATAAGGCAATCACATAATGATTATATATGAATAGATTTAAAATGCGATTACAGTAATCTTCATTTGTGATCAATTGATTATAAATCCAAGTCTTCCAAAAAGTGTTTTGTTTTAGTCTCATTAGACTCTGGATATATGTCATAGGCAACCTTGAACTGTATCAAATAGCTGTAGGTCTTTACTTATAGATGAAATAGATGAATTTATTGTCGAGTCTTTAAGAAGGAAGGTAAAATGGGTTTAAAAAAACTGAGATATTAATAAATTATATTAGACTCCGTAATTTTGTTCTCCAGGACGACCAATTTTTATGCTTGAATCCAAAATCAAATTGAGTATTATCTAGATATCTTGTCAATAACACTATTCATCTGATCATTATATATTAGTCTTCAAACTCCAAAGTAATATTCAGATTCTATCATATACGGATACATTTTATTCAAGTTATTTGCCACCTTTAAGCTCGATGTTGGCCTATCAAAAGTTCATTAATTTTTCAAAGTGAAGAGAATTTTCTACATAAATTTTCTCTACAAATAGTAGATTATCTAATGAAAAAATGTTCAAGGTGAACAGTGAGTCTCACTTGTATATCGACTTTTTACTATATTTTTTAGTAAGACTTCACTTCATAAGTATAATGTAGGTTTCTAACATTAGTTTATAACTTTATCTATGCCAACACATCGAGAAGACTATCTTCTCTCTATAATCTTACAATTTTTGCATATTTTACAAACTACTTATACAAATCACATCACATAGATAACTTATACTAAGATACTAACATTTTATATGAAACCTAATTCTATTAGAAGAATTAATATCTTACTTAAATGGTAGAATGAGAATTGACATAATTCTGAAGATACTTTTGTGTATGTTATTCCCCATTTGTAGATTGAATCAATTGCAAAAGATGAATAAGAACTTTCTAGAACCGAAATAGTTCTATAGGAAAATATAACATTTAGCAAGCACTACTAATCATTAGAACTATATTACACTTTCAGTATATTTTAATAAATATTAACACTTTATTTTTTTTTGTTCTAGGAACAACAACAAACTTAACAATATCCGATCACATCTTTTCATCATTTCTTCGTTATATGTTTGTTTTATTTTTTTCCCAATTAGCACCACGTATTCAAACATCTGCTAAATTATTAGCTCATCATTGGTCAGAATATTTCTCAGATAAATATCATAAACCATACAATGAAGTTTTATCAAACATGGCAGCTTTATATATTCGTCGTGGTGATAAATCAACTGAAGATTCTTTTTGGCATAAAAATAAACGATGGAGAAATATTTCAATGTATGTTAAAGGTATTATTGATGAAGAAAAACGTCGTGAAATAAAATATACAACAATATTTATAATGACAGATGATAAAATAGTAATGAATTCTATTCAAGAATATTCTAAAGTTGGTTTAACAACTTCAAATACAGATGAATCATATGCACGTCATCATTTATATGGTCGAGATATTATATATAATGTTTTTGCTCCACAATCTTGTTTAGATCCATTTAGTCGTATTGATTTTGATCAGTTTCTAGTCAATATACAATTTATTAGAAGTCATGCATCATTTGTTGTTGGTCACACGGATTCGAATGTTGCAAGATATTTAGAAGAAATTATTTATGTTGATCGACAACATGAAAGAAATGTACAAACACGTACATATGTTATCAATGCACCTGATACACTTGATTAGAAATTTAATTTTTTTGTTTAACAACATAGTTATGAATTCTATTTTAATAATTTGTTAACTCATAATCACTTTGAACATAACAAAAGCTTGTCTAGATTCGAATTGATTGGTTTATCTATGATTGAACTGGAGAATGAAATATAGAGACGCCTGCATTTTCTTCAATCATGAAAGGTTTTTAGATTTAGATTTCTAAAAAATAAAAATACTGAGATCATGCTGTTAGATATACAGTCAGCGACACGTCAGATGATCCTGTTTGAATAAATAACGCAAAAAAACGTATCAGAAGACTCCCTTCTGATAGTTGATCTTTCAGTTTTCTATTTTATTGGTACTCACTGTTTTCTTACTACCCTTCGCAAGTTTGTTTTTTTTTTATTTTTGATGTTCAAAGCTGTCTGTGATTGAATAACATAGAATATAGTTAATAGACGTATGTATATGGCATATGAACAACAGGGAATTAAAGGATCCTCTCGATTTGACTGTTACTCTCAATTCGTCCCATGTCGATTTTTTCCTAACTATTAATCAATTTTATTGATGATTGTAAAGCCTTGAATATGATTAACTTTGGGCAACAGTCACTATTACTACTGTATGTTGATCGTAATATCATATATCGTACAAAGACGTATCATACATATTATATAGATACTAGTTCTTTTTTCTTGTGACGAACATGCATATATTGTTAGATGTAGTCATTTCTTTCTTAGTTTCTGTCAGATATTTCTCTCTTGTGTTCTCTCTAGATTTTTCCCTACATGATTTCCCTTCGTCATGTGATTACTCAGGTATTTCCCGTGAATATTAAGATATACAGTTAAACCTCCCAAAATGAACACCTCTCTATAATGAACACCTCTGGTTTGAACACATTTTTTGGTCCCCCCGATCGATTTTTGCTGTAAACAGACCTTCGCAAGATGAACACCTCCGACCTCTGAACAATGAACGCTTTTTTAGTCCCTTCTGTAAAAGAAAACCTCTATATAATGAACATATAGTGATTAACTGTACGTTCTTCTATGAAACACAGAGCTGAAAAAATATGCTGTACATATTAAGGAAATGATAAATCAGTTTTCGACGGTCAACTCATCATAACAAGCTCTGTCGTATGTATGGATCAAGCAAAACAATGTGATTAATCGGCGATGAGTTAATCGATTCTATATGATAGGACAACATGCATTCTATCTAAGATTGTAAAATGAAACAGAACACACACGTTAACTTTGTCTATAAAAATGCA